AGAAGAGGGCTTCTCTGAAATTTGATGTTTCAGTAAGCAGTATCTGGTTCAAGTAAAAGTTGTTTGGTTCTTCTGTGAGTGTAATTGAAGGATTATGTAGAAGGAAGCTTTCATTTGGGGGGATTTCACAATTTCTGAATTCAATTTATTGTCTTGTTCTTTTTTCGGTCTGAAGATACTATTGGGTCCTTAAAACTCGATTCTCTGAGTATCATTCTTAATGTATGTAACTTTGGACGCCCATGGGCATGGTGGTGTTATGAGATAAGTCATGTACTCAACTCTTCATTTTCAGCCGAAAGAGGAAAGTTAAAAAACCAGCTCTTCTGGGTTCATTGTATAAAATGTGCACACTAGTTTTGAATCTCCTTTTGACAAAAGCTATACAGTTGGGATATGATTTGCTGGTTTTTATTAATCAAACCCCAGTTGTGGAAGAATAAATTAATAATTTTCAAAAGTAATTTTTTTTGAATTAAAACCATTGTTGAGAAAATTGAACTTTATACAGTATAGATGTTAAAATCTTGAGTCTAATTAAGTAGAAACCATCCATAGTGGATTTAGGTCCATGGGTTTGTTTTTGGGCTTGGTCATCCAAAGGCGTTGTAAATTGCATCTGGTGAGTGAAAAGGTAGCAATATGACGTCATGTCCTCCTGAGATTATTGCATCGAGTAGAGGGCGTCTACTTAATTGAAAGGATTGAAATCCAGTGATATGAACCTTGCGTCATTGTGAGATCTGAATTGTTTGTTTGAACGCAAACCCGATCCAAAATATTTGTAGTTAGTTAAGTGGATCGAAATAATCTTATCAAATAATATATACATAGACTTTAAAAGATTGGAGGATAGACACAATGATGTTTACGTCTATTGTAGCACTGACCACATACTCTCCAACTTTCCTGAAGGACCGCAACTACCATTAATACGGAATTAGTGGAACTCTTTTCTCTTGCTTCCACGTGTACGGCCATGATAAAAAGAATGGACATTACTTTCACTAGTTTTTTTATTTCGGTGAAGCCTTCCATTTTGATGCATGGCTAGGCTTCTTTTTTTAATAAATTAAAATTATTAACTTGGGCACTGAACCTCGTTTGGTATTCTAAAAAAATGCATATTTATTATATTTAATTGACGGTGGACATGTATGATTGCTTGTTTTTAAGCATTATCTTTTCTACTTAAAAAAAATGGATTATTAAATTAAATATTAATTGACCTGAAAGTATGAAACAACCCGAGTGAGATTATATATCAATATTGCATCTAAGCTGCATATATTCCTTGATCAATAAGATATCCTATTTTTTACATGCATCAAATTTAATACTTTAATGCAACAAATCATTCCAAATCACCTATTCAGTTTAATCGCCATTATTCTGAGATCATAAGAAAAGTTTATATAAAGCATATGAGACTCGTTGGTTTTGAAAATCAAAGAGCAATACCATAAAGTTAGACACCTACTACTAATTCTTATGAAACAAAAAAATAAAAAAATAACTCACATGTTAAATTAGAGTAAACGACATATTTGCACATGAGGTTTGACGAAATCTTAACTTGATACTTTTAATTGTATTTATTTTAGATTCTCATACTTAAAATAATACTGTTAGTTATTGTTGGAGGTAATAAAAAATTGGTGAGTGCGATCGACAAGTGAAGGTATGAGTTTTGTGGAGAAGGTTGTGGAGAGTTTAACAGTAGTCTCAGAAGTGATTTTAAACTTCAAAATCGGCCCAAAAAAATCAAAACTGTCGACTTAGATGTTACTAATGTAACCGCTTTTTGAAAATTAGTATGTCTTCTGCCAAAGAAAACGTTGGCGCATTTAGTATGCTAACGTGTATCGCGTTATAATAAAAAGTTAAAAATATGTTAAATAAAAAAAATGATATTAATTTAAGGGTGAGAATATAAAATAAATACAAATAAGGGTATTAAATAGTGATTTCGCTAAACCTTAGTGGGAATATACCGTTTGCTCGTTAAATTAATTTCAAAGTCAATGCCATCTTCCTCTTTATTATTAATACGTATTTTGCTATTAATTGTATAATTAATAATTCATAAAAATTTTATTATACAAACTAAAATCGCATCCTTTTGATTTGAGATTTGTACAATTAATTAGCGTCAAACACCCATTTTAATCTGCACATTACAAATTTCAAAATGTTTTCTTAACAATGTCGGATAAATATTCAATCCTGTACCTAATATCTGAAAAGTATATCTTTTATTTCAAGAGTAGACGACTTTTTCCCACCAAGGTTTACCTAATGACACTTTAACACTAAAAAGTTTCAAAATATCACTTTCCACCCAGAGTTTATATTTCGTTACTACTCAAGCCGATTCTGTTTGATTCTAGCAGCAAATATTCTCTGTCACCACCATTTAAACATTGGTATCCTCTCTACAAAACTCATCTCACCAGGGCCGTCTCAAGAACATTGTGACCCTAGGCAAAATTACATTGAGGGTCTATAATAATATAAGCATATATAAAAAATTATTTCAAATTTATTTTTTGCTTTTGAGAGTTAAAATCACTAGGAGAGGTGAACAATGACTGACAGGCTAATGAGGTTAGGTTGGTGGGGGTTTTGGAGAGCAGATGCTGAGAAATGAGGGTGGTGAAATGGGTGATTTCTAATGCTAGGATTGACAGGAAAGACTTGAGAAGTTGTGGCCCAAAAGGTATCGGTGGTCAAAGATTGGTGGAGTAAACGGATTAGGTATGATAGGGGTTTTAGTGAGAAGGCTGAGGGGAGGGATGGTGGTGTTGGGGAAGGCCATGATGCTAGGTACATGCCACAAAAGGTCGAAATGGCTGTTGCACGGTGGAGCTAGAATGTGAGATTCATAACAAAATCGACCAAATCGATGGCTATCAAGGTTGAAAACACCTAGAAAATGATAAAGTGATTGTTCTAGTTGATTTTGGTGAGAAATTAACCGGAATTAGCTCCAAACGGCTAATGGCGGAAGAGGGGTGGAGATGATTTATGTGAATGTCGAATTTTGGGATTGAATTGGGGTGAGAATTTGAGACATGTAAATGACCATATTAGCCTTTCATTGTTAAAAGAAATTCAAGTGTTAATTAGGGGTGTAAATTAGAATATATGAAACTAGAGGTACAAACATGCTATTTCGTAAACTTTGGGTGAGAAATATATATAAAAGTTTATAATAAATTTGGCCTTTGGTTTTTTTGGGGCCCTTTGGATTGGCCTAGATAAAAAATTATACACTATTTTATATAATATATTAAACAATTTATAAAAAATTTGGCCCTATTTTTTGGGGCCCTAGGCAAGTGAGTTACCCCTTGAGTCGGCCCTGCCTCTTGTTCCGATACTTGATTTCTTGCCAATTGTCAACCATCACAAAGCGATTTTCCTGTTCATAGCTGATTTCCAGTGGCAAATATTTAATCAATCACCACCATTTGATCCACTGGCCTCCACTCACAAAACCCCTCTTACGTAGGTTCGTAACAACTCGTCGAACGCCGACTAAGAAAGTGAAGTGTATTTTGAGTAGTAATGGACTATAAACTTTAGGTAGGAAAGCAGTATTTTGAAATTTTTTGCATGGTAAAGTGTCATTAAGGCAAACCTTGGGTGGGAAAAAGTGGTTTACTCTTAGGGTGCGTTTGGTTCAGGGAATGTTATATTACTAAGGAATGCTGTATTATTGGAAAGATAGATTATTAGGGAATCTTTAGAGAAATGTGTTTGATCGATTGGAATAAATTGGTGGGTATGTTATAATAATATGTATGGTTGGGAGGATAAATGAGTGAGTATGTTATGTAGATTACTAAATTGCCTTCCTTTTTAAATAATAATATACTATTATTTTTATTATTATTTTATTCTATTATTTCTTAAATCATTTTTTTAACCCCCTTATATATGAAATTTTACTAAGACACCCCAACCATATACAACTTTAATTTGTAGCAAAATCACCCCACTCACCCCAAGCCATCGCTGGTAGCCGCCATAATGGCATACGATTGGCCAGATCTGGCCGTGAATATGGTCGTTTCACGGCTAGATCTGGGTGTGAATATGGCCGCTTCACGGGCAAAGATATGGCCGTGAAATGGCCACAGATCTAGACATGAAAATGTCAGATCTTTGGCCGTGAAATAGTGACCATTTCATGGCCAAAGATCTAGCATTTTCACAGCCACATCTTTGGCCGTGAAACGGCTAGATCTAGTCGTTCCTTATCAGTACATGACCGGTAAGATCTTGTTAGTCTTGTGTCGATATGACGACTTTCGCCAGTGGCCAGCGGTGGTCTTGGGTGATTGAGGGTATTTTGTTAACTTTTAAACTTTTTTGTGGCGGGGTGTTTTAGCTAAATTCTCAAATGTAGGGGGTCTGAGTAATTGTTATTTGGTAGACATATGAGAGCAAATGTGTCTGAAATGATAAAAAATTAAAGATAAAATAGGGTCAAAATTAAAATTACGTCGATAATCTTATATTAACACCTTTTAAGAAGGTAATATAATTACCCCCAATATTATCAATAATAAATACTATTTACAATAAAAGATTATGTAATCTTTTATTATTTGACAATCGAATTAGAATTATATAATCTTTTATTATTTGATAATCGAATTAGAGAATCTTAAAAATTAAACAAAGATTAAAGATTAATCTTATATCAACTTGAAGGAGACGCTAACTTATTTCAAAGAAATAAAACAAAATTATATGGGATTGTAGAATAGAAGAAGAGCCAAAGTTGGTGTAATGTAAGTAGCTCATAGATACCAAAGCCGGCTTTAAGTACTGGTTTGTCTCTTTCTCTCTCTCTACAAAAGTGAAGTAGAGCCCCACTTGCATGTACATTTTGGTTCCCAATGTCCAAGACCAAAACCAAAACACATTTCCGTTTGCCGCCTCCGCCATTATAATCTTCTCTTCTTTAATTACTCTTTCTGCAATTTCTTTTTAGCTTCTTCTCAACACCACCAAACTTTCAACTTCTTTTTAGCTTCTTCAAAAGCAAAAAAGACATCGAAACTATGTACCCAATTACCAAACTTTATCAACACTTCCATTATTTTCTTCTGCGTTTGCAAACCATTAAAAGATATGTTTTTTCTTTTCTCTTTTGCTTACCCACTTCCCTTCTTCCTCTTCTTCTTCTTCTTCTTTTGGCTTACAATGCTTTCTCTGTCTTCAGCATTCACCTCCCTTACTTTCCCGCCAAAATCTCTCCGGTTCCCGCCATTTTCTCGCCGGAAAAAGTTGACGGTGAGTCGCTTCAGAAGTTCAGTTCTTCTGTGTTGTATGCTGTGAAAGAAGAGAACCCACCTGTGATTTTAAAGACTCAGTTGCCTCTTTTTCATAAACAGAACTTTTCCTTGGTGGTACCCATTGATAGTTCTTTGGTTTCTAGACCAAAAAAAGAGCATAAAAGGAGAACCAAGTTCAAAATTCTTCGTTTGGGAGCAAAATCTAGGCGTTTTTCAGCCAAAGTTAAAGAATTTTTTGAGAATTCTTCATGTAAGTTGAAGTTTTTCATGACTTGGATTTCCTCAGTTGAGTCATTCGGTCATAGAGAGTTTTTGGCTTTAGAGAGTTTATTTAAGTCCCATCCCAATGCTTGTCTGGTTATGGTCTCAAATTCATTGGACTCAAGTAAAGGAAATCTCATTCTTCAGCCTTTTTCAGATAAAGGTTTCAAATTGATTGCAGTTAAGCCTGATTTTGATTATATATTCAAGAATACTTATGCTGAAGGGTGGTTCAAAAAATTGAAGAAAGGGAATGTGAATCCTGGATTCATTTCCTTGGGTCAAAATATGTCTAACTTACTTAGGCTTGCTTTGTTGTATAAATTTGGTGGCATTTACTTGGATACGGATGTTATAGTACTCAAAAGTTTTTCCAAGTTGAGAAATACAATTGGAGCACAAACTGTTAATGCTGGAACCAAGAATTGGACCAGATTGAACAATGCTGTGTTGATTTTTGATAAGAATCATCCATTACTTTTTAAGTTCATACAAGAATTTGCTCTCACATTTGATGGTAACAAGTGGGGTCACAATGGTCCTTACTTGGTCTCAAGAGTTGTATCAAGGGTGAATGGTAGACCTGGGTTTAACATCACCGTGATGCCGCCATCGGCTTTCTACCCTGTGGATTGGAGTAGAATTCGAAGTTTCTTTAGAGGACCTCGAAACGAGATTCATTCGAAATGGTTGCATAAGAAGCTCGACCTTATTCGCCGCCAAAGCTTTGCAGTTCATCTGTGGAACAAGCAGAGTAGACAGCTTAAAATCGAAGAAAGGAGTATTGTTGATCATCTAAGGTTGGACTGCTGTATCTACTGCAATTCCTCGCTCTCAAGTTTGTAAGTACACAATAAAGCATGGCAATTTGCTGATTGTCTCATATTCACAAACTGTGATTACAGAAAATAAATGTTCTCTTAGTTAGAGTTTGCTTTTCATTTATCATTTCATTCAGATTCAGATTCTTGATATGTAAATCCATATAGCAGTCAATCCGTATATCCTTTAATTTTTAATCTACTAATAAGACAACGTATTAAATATCAGTGAGAAATGTCATTTTGCTGCTGTTTGTGTATGGTTATGGACCACTCAGATAATTCCACCATGGTGGTTTCTTGTAATTCAATTTTCTTGCAATACATGAAAATCTGAAGAAAAAGTTAGTTCAATCTTAAGAGCAAGAACTAGAACAGATTGGGGTTTTGATCTATATTTGACTATAGGGGACCATAAATGTTAATACTGCAGGAAGAAGCCATCATTTAATTTTGATTTCATTAAACAAATTATGATAGTGATTTTTCAGCTTCCAATCAATATTGGTACCTACTTCATGGCCTTGTCTTCATCACTATGATGCATTTTATCTTTTACTTTTCTCCTTCAGCATGTGCCATACATAATAAAGTTCAGTAGGAGCTTTTTAGCTTGGCAACTATCTCCAGGTTTCTTTTTTTGAAGTTTTTACAGACACTCTGGAAAGATATCAAGGAACAAAAAGATTCGGCAACGTTTGTTGTCATTAAGAGAGAAATAAGAAATAAATGAATTTTCATGTCGCCATTTTCTGTCATGATAGATCCAGATAACAATATTATAGAGCAGGAAATAATAGAATAATCCATGTTTAATTAGTCAAATGACAGAGAAATTCTACCAGTTTATTAAATATGGTTGGTTGTGTCATGTGTTTGAACTACCAGCATGTGTGGCTAAACTTGTTTAAACGTTTGATATTTGTCGTTGATCTGCGTTGGTTATTACATGTGAATATGATGATTACCCAGAAAATGTGATGGGTTCTTCAGGAAGTTTAGTTTGTTAAATACAAATTTGGTGACCTATCTACTACTGGCAGTCACTCTTGAATGGTTAAAACATAAACTTCTTACTGATTCTTCAAAGCATGATTTTCCCATCCATGGCAGAGGTTGACAAAGTCCAGGCGTATTTTAATGCATAAATACGATGAATATTAGGATTATAATACATATAAAAATAAAAATCAAGATTAATGAGAGGTTAGATGCACTTGATCATAGTCATTGACTTCTTTTGTTTTCCTTTAAAAAAACTAAAGCCAAGTTTTTAGTATCTACCTAAACTTTAATATATATTAAAGTTAAATGAGAAAAAGATGCTCTATGGCGGCAAAGCCTGAACTTTTCATTAATATCTTCATGTTTTATGTTTTATTTTTGAGTAAACGACTTTTTCCCACCCAAAGTTTGCCTTAATGACCCTTTCCCACCCCAAAAGTTTTAAAATACCACTTTCTCACCCAATGTTGATATTCCGTTAAGAGTTAACTGCTTTTTTCCACTCAAATAATGGCTCAATGACACATTTTCATCTACAGACTTTTAAAATATCGATTTTCTACGTCAAAAAATACGCTTTTTGATTTAACTGTGAATGGAGAGCAAACTTGGTCCATGCTATTAGGGTTTTTGAAGAGAAGAGGCTGATGAGTTTTTTGGTGGTCATGATTGGTTAGAATTTTACTTTGAAGGGGCGGTTGCGAAAACCCTAATTGCTCGATTGCCAGCGATTGGTGGGGTTGGCGAGAGTAAGGTTTGGAGGGTTTTTGTGAGTGATGATTAGGGAAGAGAATGGTGGTGGTGTGGGGTCACAACGATGCCGGAATCGACCGGCTATTGGCGGGATAGGTGGGAAAGTGTTATTAAAAGGTGTCATGGAAAAATGGTATTTTAATAGTCCGTGGGTGGGAAAGTGTCATTAAGCCATTATTTGGGTGGGAAAAAGTCATTTATTCTTTGTTAATACCCAAAATACAATTTACTTTTTCAGCCGACGTTCGACAAGTTGCCAGGAGTTAGGATAAAATAATTTTTGTAGAGTGAAGGTTGGTGGATCGAATGGTGATGACTGATTGAATATTCGTCTTAAGAATAAGTCAGAAATCGGTTAAGAACAAGAACCTTAGCTTTGCACTAGTCGACAATCAGCGATAAATAAAGTGTCGGAGTGAAAATGTTTTTATAGAGAGGAGACCAGATAGTGCTGACAGAGAGAATTTTCGCTGTCAGAATTGGCTTTGTGTAATAATGGAATATTAATTTTGGGTGGAAAAGTGGTATTTTGGAACTTTTTGAGTGGAAAAGTGTCATTAAGGCAAACCTTGTATGGGAAAAAGTCATTTCCTCTTATTTTTTATTTTTCCTTCGAACATATTTTCATGGATTTACAATAATCTTGAATGGTTCATGTTAGTAGTTATTATGAAGTAGCATTTCGTGGGGGCTGCGCATGGCTAAGTTCCTACATATTTTGTCTTATATTCAATGTTAAAATTTTGGGATAAAAAGGCTAATAAACCAGCGGTATCTGAAGATGGTTGAATTTAGAGAGGGATTGCTGCCAACTTGCTTTGGTGGTCCAAACTCTGTACATTTATTTTCAATCAAGTTACCTTTATGGATTGTCCTTATGTTTACACATGGCATTCTCTAGCCATGTGACTTCATGCTCCTTTGCTTTAAATATATTCATGTTAATCAAGTTCTTTCTCCAAAACATGAGCGGAAGAATAAAATATTTTTCAAGAACTAGTATCCGTTTCTTACCGTTTACATATGAATAACAATGACCCAGAAATGGGTCTCATGTTAATACTATTAGGCTGAGAAAACTTTAAGCCCACCACACCAGAATGCTCATCCAAGAAAAAGATAACACTATATTGAACTAGAAACTAACCATATATCTAGAATCTAAAGAAGCTTTTGTATATGTAACAGCTTAATTGTTTATTGTTCAGATACCTTTGGTCATGATCTCAATTGCAATCTCCACCAGGCTCCAAAAGTAAAAGAATCATAATAAGGGATCAAATGAATTTCAATCACACTTCCAACAAGAACAACATGAAGTTCCTGATGACTATATTATTTTTGTGGTTCTGGAATTGTAGGACTATACCAGTGGGAATAATGATTTAGCATTTACAATGTTATTTCTGGAGGCTTTACAATAGATGCATAAAACCAACATTGAGGACTAATTTTAGTTTCAGAATTACAAGCGCTTCTATAGTAAGTTTTTTCTCGTGGAAAAAGTTTTCCAAACAACATGTTGCAATACAATCAAACAATGGGAGGATGTCACATCAGAGTAGAATACATTGACTTTCTCATTGGCTTGTTGTATTGTGTCATGTAGTATCGAAGATTTTTTTTCTCGTGTAGGTGACCAAAAATACCACTCGCTAGTCACTACTGTCTCTTCACTAGTTGCTCTACATCTAATTCCACCACACCATGCCATTTTCCCTCATTCTGAAAGAGCTTTTCAATTTGCTCCAAAGATTTTCCTTTCGTTTCTGGGACACATTTATAGACAAAAGCAACAGACAGAGCTGAAATCAGAGAAAAGACAAAGAAGGTTCCACCCACCGTAATTGCATGAGACACAGACAAAGTGAAATTAGGCTCAAAATTCCAACAAGAACTTCTTGTTGCACCTCATTTATCTTTAGATCTTCCTTAATAAATATAATTGCTCCGGACATTACACCCACATCTGCAGAGTGATTAGGAACGCTGTGAATTAATTTGAACCACACACAAACAATCCAGTCAACATGGCAGCAACAAATTGACTATTGTTTTTCCCCTTACAATGACACCTAAAACACTATTTCTCAAAAGTGAAAACAGAAGCAGTGCAACATTTGTAAACGGTTGGTCATACAACATTAAATTTGATAGTTCAACACATAATCTACCATACTCTTCGCTATTTCGAACTGTCAATAAATAATGAGGACTAAGCTGATTTTTAGGTTTTGAATAAGATTTGATAACTCAGTATTTTCCATTATAAACATTAATCTAAAATTTTAGAACAAAAGTAGGTTAATAAAGTACAATTAAACCAAAACAAAAAGCAGAATTTCCAAACTTTTAATAGTGCGATGATTCATAATCACTCCACACTCTTCATTTCCTTTAAAACATTAATTGGGCTGAAATAGAGAGAAGAAAGACTAACCATAGCCAAGAAGCACAGAATTGAGAGAAGCAAAGATGGCACAGGCAATAAGATATTTGTTTGTACCACCATTCTTAATAAAAGTCAACTCTCCTTGATCATTTCCATGAGTATCCGTTCTCTGGTACTTGTTACTGTTCTCTTGCAAGTTGCAACCCCATTTTTTGGGCCCAAATGTTGTTGGTTTTGACCTAACAATAATACTATATTTACAAAAAAATCTTACAAAGATTTTTATACAAAGTGATGTGGCAAAAATTGAATGGAAAAGTGAAACAAAAAGTCAAACTTATTATAATCACTTTTCTATTAATTTTTTGTAACATCACTTTGTATGAGAATCTTTGTAAGATTTATTTTGGAAGAGTGAAACAAAAAGTCAAACTTATTATAATCACTTTTCCATTAATTTTTTGTAACATCACTTTGTATGAGAATCTTTGTAAGATTTCTTTGTAAGTGTAACATTACTCTTTACCTAAAACAACTTATTTATCCATTTGTTATTCTTTCTTTAATCAATCGTAATTAAACACGTGTTATTGCGAGAAAGTGACTCCGAATATTGTTTACTAATTAATGCGACAATTATAACATCAAATATCGGAATCTCCAAGCAAGCAAATATGAGATTCAAGATTTCTAGGTGGGCTATTCTTAGACATCAATATAGATACTTTATTGATATTAACTCAGCATTTTTATCCAACCATAATTTTAAAATCTCAAAATATTAATTAAAATATATGTAAACTATATATATATATAATTCAATTATTTGTTAGAAATGAATTATAGACTAATTTTAAAAAGGGATAAATTATGGACTTAAAAACACCAACCTTTCTTTTTTATTTATTCTCTTTTTTAAGAACACAAATTTTGCAAAGACATGGGTCTTATTGCCACTTTTTAAACCTATAATCAAGGACTTACAGTACTCTTGAATTAATACTTCATGTTAGTAGTTATTATGAATTTTAGCAATGACACATAGATTAGGCTGAAAAAACTTTTAAGCCCACCAAATGAACGCTCATCCAAGAAAACCATAAACAACCATATATCTAGAATCGAAAGAAGTTTTTCTATATTTAACAGTTTAATTTTGTACATATATGTGCTGTTCTTAACAGTCACCTGGATATGTTTAAGATACAGACATGGAAAGGGAAGATGTCAATCGCACTCTCCAGTAATTGGCTTCAACAGTAAAAGATTCATAATGAGGAAGCAAATGACTTTCAATCACATTTCCAACAAGAACAAATGAAATTCCTGATAACAAGATTTTATTTTCGTGGTTCTGGAGTTGTAGGACTATACCAGTTTATTATGCGATTTCTCGATGCTTTCCAGTAGATGCAAATGATTCCCACTGAGGACCAGTTTTAAGTTTCATAATTAGAGGCCCGCTCAGTTTTATCTCAGCACTGGTTGCTCCACACCTACTTGCACCTCCCCATGCCGGTTTCCCTCATTTTGAAAGAGCATTTCAATTTGCTCCAAAGATTTCCATTTCGTTTCTGGGACACATTCATAGACAAAAGCAACAGACAGAGCTGAAATCAGAGCAAAGACACAGAATGTTCCACCCACTGTAATTGCATGAGACACAGAAAGGAAGGTCATTGCAATTACTCCACTACTGACCCTACTCCCCACTGCCCCCAGAGCAGAAGCTTGTGCTCGTAGCCTTAGAGGGAAAACTTCAGATGATAAAACCCAACAAATGGGACCAATTCCTATAGAGAAGAAAGCTACATTGCCACAAACTGATAGAATTGCCAATCCAATCCCAAGCTGTCCATTCCCCATAAATGTTAGAGTGAGGCTTAGGCCAAGTAAGCAAATTGTCATTCCAATTGTGCTTACATAAAGCAAAGGTTTTCTACCCACTTTGTCAATAAGAATTATAGCTAACAAGATGAACATAGTTTTGGTAAACCCAACAGCAACAGTTGCAGCAAGAAGCTCAGAATCGGTCTTAATCCCAGCATTTTTAAAGATAGTGGGGCTGTAATACACAGTTGCATCAATACCTGTAATCTGTTGGAAGCATTGGATTCCACAACCTGTAATCAACATTCTTTTAACTGCAGGAGTAGAATTTATCATTTCCCGCCACACAGCCTTCCCTTCGTAATTCTTTGCGTTAGCAATCCCAGCAGCTTCTTGTATTTCAGCCAATCTCTCCTCCACTTCTCTTTCGCTTTCATTTGTCTTTGAAAGCACTACTCTTGCTTCATCAACCCTTTGCTGCATCACCAACCACCTTGGGGATTCAGGGATCACAAACAGGGCACATCCCATAAAGATTGAAGGAAGGATCCCCGCACCAAGCATGATCCTCCAGTTTATATGTACTGGTAGTCCAGAAAAAGCAAAATTCGAGATATATCCGAGTAAAATTCCAAAATTTATAAAGATCTCAGGAAAGGAGGTGAGTGATCCTCTAGCAACGGAGGGTGAGATCTCAGCTATGTATACAGGCGCGATCATCACCCCAAATCCTATCCCCACACCAGCCAAGACCCTGCCTATCATTAGTACTGTAAAAGAAGGGGCAAGAGCCATTATAGCTGCACCTGACTGAAAGACAATGGCTGCAAGGGCTATTGTCCATTTCCTACCAAGGACATCTGATGTTTTGCCCCCGGCTAAACTACCCAAAAGTGAAATTATACTCAAAATTCCAACAAGAACTTCTTGTTGCACCTCACTCATCTTTAGATCTTCCTTCATAAATATAATTGCTCCAGACATTACACCCACATCTGCAGAGTGATTAGGAGACGCTGTAAATTAATTTGAACCACACCCAAATAATCATAAATGACTTAACGAGAAGGGTTACATGCACCTTTAAACATTAATCTAAATATTCATAGCAAAAGTAGGTTAGTAAAGTATAATTACACCAAAACAAAAGCAGCAACCCTGTAATACTATGAAGATTCCATAATCAATCCAGTCTGCAATCTGTATTCCTTTAACCATTAATTGGGTTGATTTAAAATAAAGAGAAATAAGTTTTTGTAGAGAGAAGATAGACTAACCATAGCCGAGGAGGACAGAATTTAGAGAAGCAAAGATAGCACAGGCAATAACATATTTCTTTTTGCTAACATTCTTAATAAAAGCTCCCTCTTGTTGTTGATCATTTCCATTACTATCCATTCTGAAGTACTGGATACCAATTCTCTTGCAGCTTCATTTCTTGTTGTGCTTAAAATGCTCACTGTATTTAATGTTTAGAAGTTCAGAGTTATCTGTCTCTGTCCTTCACTCTCTCTTTGTGATTGATCAGAATGAGGGATATAACAACACAGCTATGACCGAAATTTTGTATTTTGTTTGCTTATATCATGCCTTATGGGTTGTTTTTATTTTTAAAATTTATAAAATGACCACATTTGAATTGTTAAAATAAAATGACCTCAATTCAAGTCCTTTTATTTATATTTACAAATAAATACAAAATTTTGTATTTATTTGTAAATATAAATAAAAGGCTTGAAAACTTCCAAACTAATTAATAAAAATACTTGCCTGAAAAATGGATGTGATAAGTGAAAGAATAATATAAAATTAGTCACCTAAAACCTTATTATAAGTGTAAAATTCTTTTTATTGATAATATTTTTTATTATATGACGGATGAAATTTACAATAATTGGTGGTGGTCACTTTTATTAAATTAATAGAGAAGTGGTTATTTTTTCAAATTAAATTAAAAGTGGGGACCTGGATTGCTCTTGTGGACCCAAAAAACTATGTATCCACATGTTATTCTTTGTTTAGTCAATTACAATTAAACACTTGCGAAAATATTTTTTAATTAATTTGACACTATAACATAAGAATATCGGAACTTCTCAGCAAGCATTTATAAGATTCAACAAAATTAACCATCATTAGGTGGATGATGGTAAAAGAGGAAGGATTTGATATGTTATCTTGATCTTGGGTCTTCACGACTCATAATAAGGATAGTCATTAGAATTCTTTTTGAATTTGAGTTTCTATAACTCTCCTAATTAAGAGTGGTTATTTGAGTTTTTTTCGAGTTTAAGTCTCTATGACTGTTAATAGAGAGGCCGTTGAAACTTTTACTTAGCCAGTAATTTTAGAATTTTAAGGGATTAGTTGAAGTATATACAAACTAATCCGAACACCTCCAGTCTTAAAAAAAATTCACAAGCTTTAAATACTTGATTTATTAAATAAAAATAAATTACCTCAAAATGAGATTCCAAAATAAAAAAAAAAAAAAAAAAAAGAAATTCAACGAAATACAATATTTGCTCTTCTTTTATGATATGATTTATTTTCTAAAAAGACCTTAAAAATAGATTTTTGCAATAATCAATCACAAATATATTTATGAAACAAACTAGTTTTGCTTAATTGAGCCGGGAGAAAGTGGATGGAACAGTTACCAGAGCTGAACCGCCACGCTCTCCCTCCAATTTCGAAGACCTCATTCCAGCTCTAAGCTTATTTAATTTCCCTATTTTTATAGCCATAACTGCCCAACTGCTTCTCCATCTCAAATATGTAGATCATAGTAGCGCTACAATTGTATGAAAAAAAAAACTCATCTTTTGACATGTTTGACATTCTCTTCGGATGGCGAAAAGCTTCTAAATGATATTAATAATCGACGAAATTAATCAGTTGTGCTTGCTTCATTAAATTAATTAAGATTAACTGCAATGCGTGTTTCTTTGCAGCAAGAATTTGGTTAGGCTTGTTCAGTGCGGTCTTAAGTTGCTGAAGATTAAGAGAGATTCAATTGTAAGGCAATTGCGTGATGACATTGCTCATTTACTCAACAATGGCCACTTTGATTCTGCCTTTTCTCGGGTACCCTCTGCTTTAATTCCGTCCTGTTAATTATGTGTCTTCTTCATATTTTAATTTAATTTCTTCTTAGGTTGGGCAGCTCTTCAAGGACCAGAGTTTATTGTCTGCATACGATCTTTTGGATCACTTCTGTGAATTCATCATCATCCATTTCCCTTATATTCGCAAACATAAGTATGACTCATTATGTAGTTTTACTTTTACAATGTAAAGTTCGTGAAATTCGCTTTTGAATATCTACATTGTCATGTCACCAGGGACTGTCCTAATGATATTAATGAGGCAGTTTCAACTTTAATGTTTGCCGCTGCCTGGTGCGGGAATCTGCCTGAACTGAAGATGATTCAGAAATTATTTTCCGACCGATATGGGCACAAGTTTGCAAAGGCTGCTATTGGATTATATCCCGGAAACCTTGTGAATAATCAGGTGAGAAAATTTTAGTGTTTTAGCAGTTTTTAGCTGAGATGCCTTCATTGACACTTCATCATTCAGATTAGGGAGAAACTATGTGTTGATGCGTGATTTTTACACCAACGAAATACATGTATGAAATGTTGAGCTGGCCCAAAAAGCACACGTGAATGTAAAGGAAAATGACAGTAAATGCAATGGGGACAGTTTTTAAAGTGGTTCGGATGCTAAGGTAGCAAGGCCTACGTCCACTAACACTTATATTGATGATAAGGGTCAGGTCACTTTAGTTGACTGAATTTACAATGGTAATACAAGGTATCAAATGCTGAAAATTCTAGAGAGAGAGAGTAGCTAATCAAATGTAAAATATGCGAATCCCCTTCAATGAGAGAGGGGCTCTCAATTTATAGAGGAATGGATTGAGGCAATCATCACTGAATCTGTGGGTTGGTGAGATTATCCATGCAAAATCCTTCTTTATGTCACATTGCCCACCTTCTATAGAGATTTGAGCGATTTGGAGCAGGGATTGGACACGTGGGATCATCACAGCTCTTGGCTGGCCTGGCGCGCGCCCACTATTCTGACAGAAGCAGGCTACGGGCGTTCCCATGATCTGACTCTTGCATGCTGACTGGACCTTATGTCAGCCTTTGTATTTTTTAGGCATAACAGAAGTCCCCTAGTTTTTAAGGTTTGAGGATCGAATCTTGGAAACTATAAGTCATGCCGCGATTGGATGATTTCTGGAGATTTTGGTGATTCCGACCTGTTTGAAAGTAGGTCGGGGTGGCACTTTTTGTGAACATGACCTCGCATGATCACTGTTTACAGAGGATGAGCAACCTGATTTCGTCAGACATCACCTGTTGTGCTTTAGGGATGGATGCATTTAATGAAGCAGTCTCTGCACTGACAGATGCATCCTGTGCGTGATAAATGCCAGCCAGGCGTTTTAAATGCGTTGTACGCCAACACAGTATGCTTTATCAGAGCATTAAATGCGTGGCATGCTGGAACGACGCCCCTTGCCAGAGCATTAAATGCAGATTGAGGCACAATTAATGCTCTGAGAGAGAGATGGCTGTCGTTCAGGCTTTTCAACGGGAAAGATGAAGGTTTGACTTTCTTCAATCGCGACGCTCACTCTTCCTCACTGATCTGCGACACGTGGCCGTGATCAATGGTGAGAAATTTTTGCCGCCCAAATGTCATTTTGATTCCGAGAGAAACTAACGTCAGGACATGCGCTATAAAAACTCAGACCTTTCTCAGGCAATGTTATCAGAGTCTTTTTCACAGAGAGTAAGAGATTTTCACGAGCTTGAAACCTTTGTCTTCCAAACCAACATCTTTCCCATATTCAAAATAGAAGCCATCTTCGCACTCCGAGAGGTAAGAACCTTTCTCTATTTTTTTGTTTTCTTATTTTCCATGGTTAAATGGCGTTAGTCCTCCGGTAACCCATCAGAGACAAGGCGCTCATGTTGGGTTCGAGCCATGAATGGCGGCTCAAACCATGCTGTTAGGGTTTTCTTTGGGATTTAGGGTGTTTGTTTCCCTCCACGTCATCGTACGAAATAGCGTACGGCAGCTAAATGACCCTCTTGCTTGTCGCTTTTGCAGACTGGCAGAACAGACCCCTCAACAACCAGATCCAAATTGGGAACCGGTTCGTCCCCACAGGGTGCTCCGAGTATCCCTCTAAAGGTCTTCTCAGTACTTACCGGGGATGAGCTCGAGAGGGTAATAAAACAGTACGGTATCGAGGTGGACACTTTCCTCGACGTGGCACACTCATTGCGCTACTCGTTAAGTGGTCAGGCCGCAATCTCTGAGTAGATCATCAAGGGCGGGGGATTGATCCCCCTACACCCTTTTATCAGGTCGCTTTTGGACCACTTCGGGATAGCGCCGATGCAGCTCACTCCGAATGCGTATATGATTGCTATCGCAATGTACATACCGTGTCCTGAGAATGGGCTAGGCGAACTGACGGCTGTGAAGCTCGGCTGCTCGTATTTCTTGAACAAGAGCAAGGACAAGGATTCTTATTACTTGTCCAGGCGACCTACCATAGCCGATGGGATACATAGCTACTCTAGCAACGCGGGGGCCTACGAAACGAAGCTTTTCTTCTTTCGTCATGACAGCATTGCCGCTTTCAAGAATCGAGTAGGTTCTTTTCCCTTGGCGAATTCATTAAATTTGGAATGCGTTTTCTTTCTAACGACTGGATTCCTTTCTGACAGTTAACAAGACGACCGACTTAGGGCTGCTCTTCGATCCAACTAGGATTGTGAATTTCGGCTTCCTGCCCGAGGACAGACACGACGCGAAGAAGCTCGTGACGACCGCGAATCTGCAGAAATATGGTTTCTTCAATGCAAACGCGTCTCTAGAGTCCCCTTTGAGTAAGTCTTGCTAACTGGTCCTTCTCTGGTCGTGAAATGAAATACTTTGCTAACGATGCTTTGCATGCAGCGACCATGCCTCTGAAAGAGTCAGAGCAGCCGCGACGAAGGCCACTCAATTTTCCTAGGTCAAGAAAAGCCAAGGCGACCGATGCTGCTCCGACCATTCCTCTGGCTGAAGGTGCAGCATCGGGCCTACCGATGCGACTTGCTGGAACTTCTTAGCCCCAACCGTCAGAGGATGCACCAATCTGAACCAGGAAGGCCTTCCAGCCATCACCTGCTCGCCCGAGGCTAAAGACAACGGCTGAGTGAAAGAAGAGGAGGCAGATTTAGGTCGAAGAGTTAGAGACCGAATCTGAGGGCTATCAACCCAAGAGGTCGCAACCGGACGTGAAGAGGTCGGGTAAGGAACCGATGGATGACACGACCACTGTCGAAGGTGCGAAGAAGGATACTCCTATGCTGGACTCGCTGGGGAACCTACCGAAGTACCTGCAGCCGATAGTCTACACCTTACTGGAATGCGAACTCTCGGAATAATTTGAGCAGTTTGCAGATTCCAGCGACGTGGACCTAATGTCCACATAGGTCCAACATTTAAGCAAGGT